TGAGACTGCTACTTCTCTGTGTTCTCCTTGTGGCTGTGATATGGCCTCCAAAGTCTTGCAGTACGTAGAAGACCGTGTTTCAGTAACAATTTGTTTTTACAAGAAATTTCGTTTGGAGCTTAGAAACCAATACATCACCAAAAAGAGTTTGATCCATGTATACAGCTAATTCCTGTTCAAAGTTTATCACTAGCAGTCATTCACTTAAGTTGTACTTGGGAAAATTCTGCTAAATTTAGCTAGTATTTTTAAAATATCAAATTTTATATGTGTAAATATATACTATGAAGCATATTCTTCCCTAACAAGTAATAAGTATTGTGCTAATATTCAATTTCTTTTTAAATTATTTGATTTATAGTTACATGTTATTCAATTTAATCACAATTTATTGTGATTAAACTACTATTTCTGTCAATAAAAATGACATTTAGGTACTTACTCATATACTTACTTAAGACGAGGTTAATCAAATCTCATATGGCAAACATAAGCTACAGTAGAGAGGTAGTTAAAATTTTGGAATTTGCCTATTAAAAGCAGTAGTTCTGCATAACTGCTTCAAATAATATGAAATACATGTCTGCATGTATGTGATAACTAAAATGGGAAAATTATCTTACCTAGGAGAACAGAGGTGGAATGAATACTTAATAAATCTTTCTCTTACCTGATTTGAGAGTACTGGAATCATCTGTATTACAGAAGTCTAGGTTCCAGACTATGTTTTTATTTCCCATTAGTCTGGATCTTCTGAAATCACAACTCTGTTTTGCAGGTGCTGTTTTTAACCCAAGGTTTCAGTAAAATTCTATACAAAATGGCAGCTTATCAGAGAACAGGTGTTAAACTGCAAAGGACAGATGCTGTTTATCATTAAGCCCCTCCTCTCAACAAGGCAGGATAAGTTGCTATTACCATAGCAGCTTCCACTCATTATTTTTTCAGGCAAAGACAGACTTACAACAAATTCCCAGTCTGTCTGTGCCTTGGGACTTTCATTATTCCCAAAAATGAAAAAGAAGAGTACAGGAGCTTGGGATATTGGCATAGGTGTTTGTACTTTCCTCTTCCTTCTTCACTGTTAGAATCCTAGTTATTGCTGCCCTGCTTCTGATCTGGGTAATGGGACGATCAGAGGTTCACTCACCTCACCTACCTGCCTGCCACTTCTCCTGCCCCACAGCTTCCCATCACCTCAAACTCTCCTAGGCACTTTCGATCCAGTCTAGGTTCTCCAGTCTTCCAACCTTGAGTCTGCATCCCCAGTCCTTACAGACACAAATCAATCCCAGGATCCTCCTTTTTCATTCCCTGAACATCCCACAGTTCTCACTACTTTCATCTCACTTTATAGCTTCCACATGTGTTCAGCTCTAATTCATACTGAAACAGTGGACTTCCCAACCTACATGTCAAGAACATGTTAAAAAATCCATTTGTTTTTTCAAAGGGAGGATTACATCCAGAAAAAAATGGACCCTCTGTGGTAACCCTTGGTAAAAGTGACGCTTTGTTGGTTGTTACTTGGCTATGCAAGTATGAGAGATGGTGAGCTACACAGATAGTACATGCTAAAAGCAGTAGAAGTAAGAGGCAAACTGCTAGAAGACAGAGTTATGAACACCAAAGGAAGTCCGGATTTCAGGAGGGGTATGAACAACTGGCTTGAGGTGGGTGGCACTTGAGGAAGATAGGAAGAAACAGTAGGTCTGAGCATTAGAGAAGAAAGTAATGATTAGAAATGGAAAGAATGGCTCCAAGGAGCCAGATTTGCAGAGATCCAGGAGAAAAAAAAAAAAGTCCAGACAATGGATATAGACAGTGGGCCTAAAGAGTTTGGAGATGAAGTACGAAAGGTTAATATTATATTCTTGCAGAAGCAAGTATGGACAATATTAAGAAATTAGAAAACAATACATGTGCCGAATTATGAAAGAAAAGAACTGGAGGACACTGAGAGATTCAGAAGTTGAAAGGAGAGGTCCAGAAATTGGATAAAATAGGCAAGTGAAAGGAGTAAAGGAACACATGAAATGAACAGATGAAAAGCTTTTATATTAATGACAATGAAGAAGGACAGAGGAAAAAAAGGTAAGAAAAGAAGGAAGAAAAGGAAAGCTAGTCCCGGAGTGACGTGACAAGTAAAGTTTCGCCTTGTACTGAAGATGAGAATAAGCAGAGCCTTTTTCAAGCAGCAAAACATACAAGTGTGCTTTAGGAAAGGTACTCTCTGCAAATGTCACATAAGTGCAGAATTTTAACAGAGTTGGACAATTAGAACCAGGGCAAGGCTTATACTTCACTGTCCTGATGAAATTGGTGCTGCATACAATGTATGCCAGGGGACATATTTCTACTTAAAATGTTTCATAAGAGAAATGCTCTGCTAAACAGATGAGAAATTGATGTATGAGTCAGTGAGGTTTTTTTAGTGCTTGAAGTAAATTGTAATGGTTTGTAATCTTTCCCAACTCTTCTTAAAAAATGCTGTTATTATGTTAATGTTGCATTCTTTGATTCTTTTCTTTTCTTCCCTTAAATTTCATACTCTTAATTTCATACTTTCAACGTGTAACATTTGAAAACAGGATACAGAAAAATGTGCATAAGGAATTGAGATTTTTCTACATTTGGGAATGATAAAAAAAAATGCTAAGGTCATAGAGGCTTATTTTGTAGTAATGTGACCTACAGCAAGGCATTCTAAGTTGGTGTTTGTCAAATTGTAGTGTAATAAACTGCTTTGAGTTAGCACATTATCGTGTTTTCTTATATTGCCTTTCAGTAAAAAATGACCAGTGTAGCCAATGTATTGCTATTAAATGTGTTAAATACAATCTGTTATTACAAACCTCTTGAAATCCCATCTGGGAAGTTCAGTTTAGTTCTTGTGGAGATTCAAACACTGAAAAAAAGATTTCTACACCACCACCACTCACCCACGCCTACTTAGTTCACTAATCAGTAGAAATAAATAGCTTCTGCAGGAATAGAAACCATTAGAGTTTCATATAAACTATAAAAAGCAGGATGAGGGGGAGTATTTTATTGCAGTAGGGCTTGTGAGGACATGGCAATAAAATCAATCCTGCTCTGACAAACTTGTAACATTACATTTGTGAAATGGCAAGAACATTACCATGAAAAACAGTCATAACTTAAATACTCTAGGGATCTTTTATTTCTCTGTGATGCAGTGACATTTGGTGTAGATTTCTTTCTGGAAAATGAATAGTAATTATACTGTCAGTATGGCTATAAGCTCTATTCTGTTTTGTGTCGGGATTTTTTTCATATTATCACTTACAGACTTAATCAATTTGGAGTTTGTTGTGGTGTAACATAGCAAAAGCCTGCAGTGCATATGGGCAAAGTAGCTGATTTCTAAGAGCAAGAGAATAATATTATGCTTCATTTTGTGTATCCAGGACTTGAATGAAAAGTAAGTTACTTGTCTGTAAGTCACAGGAAGTCTCCTGTGGAATTCAGAACTGAACCCAGAGAACTGTGTAGTCCATACTGTGATCCAGAGCACCTTTCTATGGGTACATTGCCAAGGAAAAGCTGCCCAGAATTTGCGTGTAAGCAAGCCCTCCAACATACCTCAAGAAACGGAGACTTTCTCAGAGTTTCCTATCAAATGGATAGCAGACAGTCCCAGGTGACAACCCTGCACAACCTCACAAAACAGGAAAGCAATGAGGGGGCTCAGTACTGTTATCTTAATATAATTGAGAGGAAACTGTGATTATTTATTTATTGATTATCTATTAATTTACTAACCATGCATTTTCTCTATTTTGGGGCTTAAGTGGGAATCATTTTAATATGTTTTTCCTGTGATCTCTCTTTAACCCAGGATATTGCAGGCAATTTCCTTCTTCCTCAGCCAGTCCTGCAGTTAAAGCCACTCTATCACAAATGCATATTATGTTTCTCATGTGCCCAGCTGTCCCGAATCCCTTCCTTTTCTACTCCACATCTGTGTTTTTAAAAAGCTAGACCAGCACATATTGCACGATGACTTCTATCTAATTTTTGCTGTGTGATAGTTGTCTGTTCTGAGCTGATTATCTCATCTCTGTCTGTAGTCAGTGTAAAGAGACAAGTAACCTTCAAGATTTAATGACTGTTTTTACTATTAGAGAAATACCTGGCAGCAAATAGAGTATTTCACAAGTCCTTAGATACTCATGACACTCAAATTCATGCAGTCAAGCAGAATTCACAATTTAGAAATACACTTTTTTTTTTCAGAACATTGTGAAATGCCATTGAAAAAATGGCTGTTGGCTTGAAGTCAAGACTAATTCTCAAGATTTTCTCTGTGATATTTGCCTTAGAGTGTTTTGATTTAGAAGTTTCTAGGAGATGTTATGGCTTAAGCCAGAGCCCTTCCAGTTCATCACGCTAGCCACATAGTCATGCTGAATTACCATTCATTAAGCCTCAAGGTCAGCAGGGTGATGGAGCTGTTTTAACTGAAAAAAAAAAAAACTGAAAAAAATGAAAAAAAAAGTAGATTTCCTTTTTTTTTTCCTTTAAATGAGTCAGTTCCACACAGTTGTTCACTTTTGTATCACCGCTTGACTTGCTATTCCAGCTTATGAGAGTGTGGTGGGGACGGGTGGAGTAGGGGCAGACACTAACGGTTTCGCTACATAAGTGTAGTATATGTAAAACCACAGCACATTTTGATCAGATCCCACAATTATCGTGAAGATTCCTTCAGAGAGAGAGGTTCATTTCAGTGATTTTGATTGTAGATTCATAGTCCAAATCAGTCATCAATTTGTGGGAGGCAGTCTTTGTATGAGTTGAAGTCCAAAATTTAGTTGGGTTGTATGATCTTAAAATCTTTATGCCCTCTCCACACAAAATGAAACAAGTGAACCCAAGAAAAATAAAGCTTAGCATTCTATTTTTCTTTTATTACTATGTAGACCTTTATCTACTGGCTGTCTAAACTGTAATTTCTCATAATATTCATACTACAGGTCAATTGCTCCGTCTGAAAATGTTTCGAGAGGACCATGGATCTTGGATGACAATGTTCTTCAGTACCATCCTCTTCCTCTTCATTTTTTCTCACATTTATAATCTGTGCCTGATTATGGCAGGGAATATGAGGTAGGCAACAGATTTTTTTTTCTGTCTCTTTTCTCTAGAATGTATTGTTTTGGAAATTCTTCATAATACGTTCTTTAGGAGGGAACAAGAGGGAACAAGAGAGGGAAAAAGTGTCAGCGTGTTAGTATTCACCACCTTCTTTGTTCCTCTGTTTCCTAAATTTAGGTAAAAGAGTATCAGTTATGAAAAGTGAGATCTTGACCAGTTATAGCAGCTATTATATCATGGTGCAAATGATCATTACTTTGCAAAACTAATTGCTTTGATTAATTGTTACAGGTGAGCAAGTCAGATTGGAAGTTAAGACTGAGTAATTTATAAATACAAATATTATCAGTGTTCATACCCAGGTTATCAGTGTTAAATTGAAAGATCCAGACTTAAGGACATGCATGTTCAAACCACAAACTTTACATGTGTACTACAGTGTTATTTTGGTCATGCAATGTAGTATTTTCTCATCCAGTTTGGCAACAATAGTCTTCAAAACCTATTAATTGTGCTATTTTTCCATAAGGTACTCCTATAGGGTGAAGCTAGGGTTGGTCTAGGGAGTAGTAGTTATAGTCTGGTATGTCTGGATTTATTTTAAGATGAAATTTTAACTGAATTTTCTGCCTTAAGGAAACTAGCTTTTTCCTATTGTTCTGAAAATCAACCTCACTTTTGCCAGTTGATTGTCCTGAGAAAACCTATGTTATTAGTCATCTAATGAATACTAAATGATTTAATTGGGCAGAGGTACACAGACATTGTTTAGAAAAGGCAAGGTAGCCTCTGAACAGTTTCTATCAAGGAAAAGAAAATCCAATCTATATTTGAGTTGAAGAGCATGGCAAATAAGTGCATAGCTTGTCTTTACTCTCCAGAATAGGAAAGGCATACCAAAAGATTTGATGAAGTGTAGTTTAATGTACCCTGGTGTGGCATGGTATATTACAGATCTTAGTGGGCCAACAAAATTCACAGCATATGAAGAACTTTTAACAATGTGAGATAAAAAAAAAAGTGAGAAGGAGACAAACTGGGTGTCACTTAATGAACATGAACACAGACGGTGCTAATCATATGATTATAGTAATGAAATGAAACATTAATTTGTCTTGATTCAAGCAGAGTGAGTAAAGTGAAGAATCACTTGCTATTTTAGAAGAAAAAAGGGACCATGTGAGCAGGATGCGATTATGGCAACAAGGTAGTAGATGTGAGTAGGCACGTAGTAAGTGGGAGAACAATCCTCCCCTATTAAGGAAGGTAGGAGCACTGCAGACTTCTGGCTTCCCTATTTATTATTATTTGTATTTGTACTATTATTGGTAGTGTGTTATATTTGTAAAACTCCAGAAGCTCCACTGGCTGTTAGACAAAGCATTAACCAATTTGAAAGCTGAACTCATGTCTAGAAATCAGAATTACTTTGTCCTTGACAGCGTTCCCGTTCCCCATATCTATTACAAGTTTCTGTGCTTCATCTGCATCATGTTGGCTGCATGGAGGAGATCTCATGATGAGCTGTGTCTGACTGAGTGCATGGAAATAGGCATAGCCTGTGAATAAAATACTGGAGCCAGTCAATCTATGCTCTTCCCTAAGGCAGAGTGCGGTCTTTGCTTTTCTAGAGCTAATGCCAGCCCTGTTTTTGTCACTAATCATTAGAGGAAACTTACCCTGCTAAGCCTAAGGAGTGCAGTGAAGACTTACTAAGAATGTTCTGGGTGCATTTCAGCAAAAAGCCCTAAGTTAATTCAGAAAAGAAAGTTTCAGTCTCAAACTCTACAACTTACACTTGAACAGAGCTGTTCACAGCCCAGGTAGAGCAACATGTAACACTTTTCAAAAGATGGACAGAGAGATCCTACAACAAAAGACAAACATCAAGGCTACCTACTTGGCCACAATAAATGTTTTTTAAGCAGTAGATTCCTTTTTCCTGAGTAAATGCAATCCTTATGAAAGCTGTTTGTTTCATGCTTTGTGCTTCTATATAAAAGAACACCTCTGGGAAGAGGCTTTGCCGCGGTGCTATACTGAAATGGCCAGCAGCAGAGGGGCTGCCTTCCAGGATAAAGGTCAGGATCCATCTGCATGAAGGTTACAGCCTCTGTAGGGACAAGCTGACCTTTGTGCCTATGGACTCCTGTGCAAAAAACACTTTGAAATACAAGCATACAAAATGCGTGTGTTTCCAAAACAAGGCCTGTGAAAATCTTACAATTACTGACTATAAGGCTGAGCGAAAGAAAGAACAATTCTTCTTATGTGTGTTTGCCTATCATTCTGTCTGTGTATCAGCTTGCCCTGCATGTCACAGGAGAGCGATTTTGACAAGTTTCTTATGTCAGATGTTTGATTTTATAAATGAAGACTCCTTTGTGGCTCACTACAGTAGGAGACTCACACATCTTGCATGTGCATGACAGTAGTGATGATCTCTGCTGAAACGATATCCCGTTGAGGGCTGGAGAAACCCATGGCAGGAGTGTTATAAAGTTGTTTAACGTTACCATCTCTAGGAACATCCATTTTACAATTGACAGGACTTTTTTTTTTTTTTTAATTAAAAAAAAGATAGTTCGCACACGTCGCAATTTGGTAAGCTTAAAAAAGTCTGAATATATCCCTTTAGAAAGAATAATGATATGGACTGTACTTTGCTGGAAAGAGAAAAAAAAGAGACAAAAAATAAGAACAAGTAGCTGGTATTTGAAGACGTACTGTACAGCTATTTGCACGGTGAAAGTGTGACAGATTGGGATGTGTTATTTTTAATTCCTTTTCTCTTTCAGTGCCGTTTCCTTTTAGGGGCTTATTTCCTTAGTCCACTGTACATCAGGTCATTGTTCTTTTAGTCAGAGCTGAACATCTGGCTGAAGAAACCTTTTTGAAAAGTTGTCACAAAATGATTCACAGCTATTACTTCTTATTGCTTCTCATTATTAAAGCAGGAGCAAAATCCCCAAATAGTAGGTCTTTAATGTGTAACTTCTCTGTCAGGATTGTGGCAAACCCACTATCACCAGGGAAAAAACGGGCTAAGGAGTCAGAAAACAAGAAAGGATGTCTCATTTATGTGTGCTAAGTTTTGGTTCCATTAAAGGAAGGTCAATCAGAGCTATTTTCTTCCCTCATATAAGGTTAGTCTCTCAGGTGCTTATTTAAGAATAAGATGATTCTGGTTAAGGATCTACATTGCTTGCCAAACTTTCCTGAACAGTCTTACAGAGTGCCAACAGCAGAGGGGATTTGAAGGAGTTTCTGTAACTGTCTGAAGGTCCAGTAGGGTTGAGCTGCAAACTTCAGGCACAAGGTTGAGTTGTTTAGTCATCTTGTGCAAGAAAGATACCCACTGTAATCAGGATGAGTGGTAATGAATAGTGACTGCACACTGGAGCTATCCAGTGAGAGCCATCCCCATGGCTACACCATCAAAGAAAAAAGTATAGGATCTAAAGCCCCTAAAAATAGTATTTATCATTCGGTGGAGTCTTGCAACACCTAATCTGAATGTGTTGGTGTCTTGACAGTTAGGTTTTGGCAAGCCTGCTGTGGGGGAGCCCATTGTGGAGGTGGCTATTTCTCAGAATCGTCCAAGTGTTTCAACCAAACCCGTTGGCTGCCTGGCACATGACTCCAATGATTACCCCACCTGTAAGGATCTCATTGTCCTGTGGTGCAGGCCCTCATGGTCTAGAGAGAGAGACATTCATAGACATACAGTAGGAACCATGACATGGGTATTTCAAAGTTCAGGCTGTGAATTCAAGAGTAACTCTGGATTTTTTTTTTCCCTGATGGGAACAGAGTTAATAATGGCATGCTGCTCTCTCTGTTATGACTAAGGTTAAATATGTACTTTCCCTCTGAATTATGTGGCTGGTCCCAGCCAACAACAGCCAAATTTGATGTTTCAGGCATGTCTTTTCATGTGTGCCGCAGGGACACAGCTCATGCTTTTCGAAGGCTTTCTGCGAGATGGGGAACACTCTAGGGGCCAATGTAGCAATATCTGGTGCCTTCCGTGCCCTTCACAACCTGTGACAATGCAGGGAGAGAGTTTACTGCAGGGCTTTGAGTTTACTGCAGCTGCTTGAAGAGGGTTCAACATTTGAGGAGTTATCAGACTCAGATGCCATTTGTAGATTTACCACTGAAAATGGTGGTGACAGTGTTGTCGCATGAAAGAATGACTAATTCTCAGAGATAGATGAATGTTTTTCTCTCTCAAATTCTCTTTGCTTCTGACTGTGTTTTATCATTAAAATTAATTTCTGAAATACTTTTCTGCTTTTCTGTTTCTACACATTTTGGCCTAGATTTCTGTGACCCCGATTCACAGCATGTAACCAAATGGCAACTTGCTTGTTTACGCTGTGCCTAATCCTCATCAGGACGTTCCATCTTCATATGACTTTTTGCAATGCATCACCATGTCACAGTGAGGCAGCAAGCACTAAGCAAAGGCAGATCCCTGGCGAGCTGCTGAGTGGGGAGAGTTTGTGTTATGAGGGCACAGAGGCCGTGTCCCACCAGAGGGCTGGTGGGAAGGGCCTGAGGAGCCCATGGATCAGCAGATGGAGCAGCTCATCAGGATGAAGGTGGGGGAGCTCCATGGGAAAGCAGCAGGAGTGAATCAGGGGTCGATCTCTTCTCCAGAGTAACTGCCAATAGGACAAGAGGAAATGGCCTCAAGTTTCCCCTAGGGAGGTTCAGGTTAGATATTAGGAAAATTTCTGCACAGAAAGGGTAGTTAAGCATTGGAACAGGCTGCCCAGGGAAGTGGTGGAGTCATTGTTCCTGGCAGTGTTCGAGAAATGTGTAGATGAGGCTCTTAGGGACATGGTTTAGTAGGTATGGTGTTGAGGGGCTTATGGTTGAACCCAATCATCTCAAAGGTCTTTTCCAATCATAATGGGTCTATGAGTCTATGATTCTAGGAGCCTGCAGATGATTCCGAGAATCCTCTTCTTGCAAATGTCTACAGCCCAGTGGCTGGGAGACTG